GGCTTCACTGCACAGTCAATGTGGCTTTCTACCCCGGGGCCTCCCTGGGTAGGGCTCTCAGGAAGGTGTAGTGGTGACTCCAGGTACAGCCGGCCTTCCTGAAAGGCCTTTCCTTGCAGACTGGAATACACCAGTGGAGATCTGGTCCCCTCTCTTTCCTGCCCCTCTTGGTATTTTTACTTCTCAATGTGTAAATAGGATGAGGTGAGCAGGCAAACTGCTAAGAGTAACACGCAGTGACATTTCCATGTCACAGTCAGCAGCCAGTTTACCCCACATTTCAGGGCTTCACTTTTATGGTTCACACATCACACCGCACAGCAACTGACCCCGAGTTACCTGCAGCAAGTGTGCAATGCACTGTAACTGGTGCCCTTTACTTTATCTGTATATGATCAACAGTGCAGGAACCAGGAAGGCAGAACTGTAATTCTGGGTCTTTTTCTAGCTCCATGATCTTTGCAAAATCCTTTCACTTTTCTTACTGTTTTGAACAATGACATTTGGATGGATGATCTTTAAAATTAGTTTGACTGTCATGATTTATAATCTATAGATAACATAAGCTTGGTATTGCTGACATCAGTAATGTGCTGGTAAATGTTATTGACTGTCTTTAAATGAAGAATAATGATGACCCTGCAGCCCTGACTTTCGATGCTTGCCCAGTTCCATGGTGAGAATATGCCTGCTGTGGCTGACTGCAAGTTACCAAACTGACTTGCTGAGCACAGACACAAGTGGGGCACATCCCACAGTCAGGGACTTGAGTCACCCTTAAACATCTCCTTCTACCTAACAGATTCATCTTCCTTCACTGAGAATACTGGGCTGATGGCAATCTTTGTAGTTTCCCTGGCTTGGTGGGAAGTTATTGCTACCCACTGTGTGGAACAGAGAGTTCTTTGAGATCGTCACTTCATAGGGTAGGCCTCACCCGGACTCCCTAGCAGCAGGCCTAAAGCTGTGTCTTCTGTCCCTGTGTGCACATTAAAACCCATCCCTACCATCTGTACTGGCACCTGCTAGTCCATGGGCCTGATAGCTGTGCTATTCAGTTCCTCTTCATTTCTAACATCCACAGATTTCTCGCTTTCAATCCTGCACCGGTGTTAAAGACATTTTAAATATTTTTAAAATGTAGCATTTCTGTTTTAGAAAAGTGATGCCAACATAAGTAATTTATCTTGTTGTGGGAAGTTTTGTTTCAACTTAGAATTTGTTTCAACCACATTTTACAGCTCAGTAAAAAGGTTTCTTGACTCACTGAATCGAGTTTGAAACTTATTTATATAGCATAGATGTAAGATAAATCCAGCAGGTGGGAACCGTTACTATGGGCTGTTATCTTTTTCTCCATTTGCACAGCAGTCAATGCCTGGAGGTCAATTTTACATGAAGAGAGGATCTCCAATATTGGATTTGAAGATAGCAAAAGCATAAACCATGGCCGCTGCCCTTAGTGGAGCTCATATGTTAAAGGCCTCAAATGTGAACAGAGGATTGTGGAATGAGGTCATAGCTGTGTTAATGAAGTTAAATGGAAAGCCCTGACAGGACACTCTTATGTAGTATGCAGAAGTTAGAGAATCCTGGGGAGATGCCACTGCTACATAGGCCGTGCACACGCGCGCGCGTGTGTGTGTGTGTGTGTGTGTGTGTGTGTGTGTGTGGTAGCACAGAGAAGAGACAGCAGATACTAGAAACAGTAATGACAGTAACAGTACAGGGGTCAGCAACACACTGCAGAGGACTCTACAGACCATGGATTATATGGGTTTACTCCAATGGGCAGTAGTTATGGTCAACTCTGTTGAAATCACCTGTCATGGAATAACAAGCCCTACATGTAAATGTGGCAGTGATGGCATGCTTTCTCATTTTACTATTGAGAATATTAAATAATTTATATATTTAAAATTCCTATTTCGAAATAAGCCTAAATATGTCAAATTTTTTAAAAAATGAACCATCCTGATGGAGTCAGGATTGGTTAACATTCTGTATTCTATAGCACTTATACATAGTAGGTATTCATAATCTAACTGGTGAGTGAACATAGTTTAATTGAATAAAACAAAGCATGGCCCCTGGGACCTATACACCCTCATGAAAGATGTAGTTGGACCCCTGCCTCACTCGCTATATGAATTCAGTCAATGACCCAGGAAGGTTCAATGGGAAACTGCTAACTGATGGTACAATACTGTTCTGGTAATGAAAATGTTCTGCAATTAGATAGGAGTGACAACTACACAATTTTGGGAATAAACCCCACAAAATCATACGTCTTAGAAGAGTCAATTTTATGACAGGTATGCAAAGTCTATTTTGATCAAATACAGAAACAAAACAGATAGCAGTAGTAATATGAAGCCATGGCTCACCTTATCTTTGACAAAGGGGTCAATCATATTCACTGGAAGAAAGATAGCCTTTTTAACAAATGGTGCTGGAAAAAATGGCTCTCTACATGCTGAAAACTAAAACTTGACCCAGGTCTATCATCATGCACTAAGCTAAAGTCAAAATGGATTAAAGATCTAAACATTAAAACAGAAACACTAAATCTCCTGGAAGAGAAAGTAGGAGGAACTCTTGAAGACATAGTGGTAGGCAAAGAGTTCATGAACAAAAATCAAATCACACGGGAAACACTTGAAAGAATTAACAACTGGGACCTCCTCTTACTGAGAAGATTTTGCACATAAAAAGAAATTACTAACAAAGTGAAAAGACAACCACAAATTTGGAAAAAATCATGCCAAATAAGTACTCAGACAAAGGTCTGCTCTCTAGAATTCATAAAGAACTAAAAAACACTAGGGCCCCAAAATTTAAAGACCCAATCCAGAAATGGGCATCCGAGATGAACACATACTTCTCAGAGGATGAAATTAAAGAAGTGAATAAATATATGAAAAAAGGCTCCACATTAGTAGCCATCCATGAAATGCAAATTAAAACAACATTGAGATATCACCTCACCCCAGAAAGAATGGCTATCATCATGAAATCACCCAACAACAAATGTTGGAGAGGCTGTGGGGAAAAAGGAACCCTTCTCCACTGCTGGTGGAAATGTAGACTGGTGCAACCACTATGGAAATCAGGGTGGAGACTCCTTAAAAAACTAGGACTGGAAATTCCATTTAAAGCAGCTATTCTTCTACTGGGAATTTTCCCAGAGGATCTGAAAATATCATATCATAGTGATATATGTGTGCCTATGTTTATACCAGCACAATTTGTGATAGCTAAATCTTGGAAACAACCAAGATGCCCGTCATCAGAGGAATGGATGAAAAAGATGTGGTATTTTTATACAACGGAGTATTACTCAGCTATGAAGAATGATAAACTTGAAGCCTTTATATTGAAGTGGATGTCACTTGAACATATACTCATAAGTGAAATAAATCAGACACATGTGTAAATATCGTATAGTTTCCCTAGTATAAGAACTCAAAAGAAGAAATATAAATAGAAAGGTATAATACAATTAAAAGGAAAACAAGAACTTGAGGACTAAACAATGAAGAGAAAGCAAGGAGAAAAGCCAGGAAATACAACAGAGACAAGCCAGTTAGATGTACAAGATGAGTAAGGCAATGATCCTGAGAATCTTCAGAAGATCTTCGAATCTAGCAGTTAATTGGAAGGATTCTCACCCTGACTAACACCTGTGAACTAAGCAAATGCACTGAAATGGCAATTTATAATAGTAGGTTCATGCTTGGAGTGCCTGTCATTCTGGTCTTCTGAATATGTGCTGCTTGTCATGACACACCAGTAGCTGCTGTGCTGTCTCTCAGGTAGATGATTGTTTAAAAAGGAAGCGGGTGGTGAATGAAGGCAGGAGACAGTAAAAGCAGTGTTGCAGGGCTGTCCTGCAACAATGTTGTATATGGTTAGATATCTGGACTTATGTGTAAACATATATAATTCTTTATTATTATTTTTAAATGTATTTTATTATTTTTAATTTTTGTCATATTCTGAAGGGATTTAAAGTTAA